AAAAATGGCCGCGGACCACGTGTCAGGGGCGGGAAAATGGCCGCGGACCACGTGTCAGGCGCGGAAAAATGGCCGCGGAGCATGTCACAGGAGGGAAAATGGCCGCGTATCCTGTTCGTACTCCAAGGCAGAGTTCGCAAACCGAGGTAAATTTTTGCGGCCGGAGCTGGTCGTAACCCGAAAAGTTCGTTAACAGAGGCGTTCATAACCCAAGGTACCATTGTATTTCCATTAGTTCCTGGGGCTACTCTTCTGAGGTTAGACTCTATCCTATGTGTCCTGAGATAGAATAGAAACCATAAGAATAAGCTGTTGCATTTTATATATTTATGTGTGTTTTTATTGTCATTTCCTATGTGCATATGATATAAAACATTTCATTATAAACATTTTTAAAAGAAGTTAAGAAACAAATTTGGAAGATGTCATTCACTGTGACTTTATCTTAAGTCAATCATGTCCTTGTATTTCTCAACTTTAAAAACAGATGTTTGAAGGAAAGGAAAAGCGTCTAGAATTGATTCGTGAGTTACGCACCACACATGCACTCCAGGAGGATGGACAGTTGTTGAAAAAGGCTGAAAAACAAGTGACTTTGGCCTTACAACGGCAGCGGGATTTGCATGAACACAAGGTTTGGCTATAAATGGAGGAAATTTCCCCTGTATTAAATTATTTTGCAAAATATGTGGGACAGAAGCTGAAGATGGCAACGTTTGACCATCTAGGGGAGGAATATGGTATTCAGGGCAGAGTTTTCAACCAATTTCAGTCCTTGGCGTTAGGTAGAATAGTCAGAAGGCTGTGATGAGTGTTAGGGAAGTTCATTCCTATGCCTCTTCAATCTATATTTTTATGACCCTGGCAAGTCACTTGTTCAGATCAGTCCAACATCAGGACTGAAATACTAAAAATTAGCAATACTAATTTTCTTTTTCAAGTGTTGTCATGTGAATGAAAAAGCTGAAGCCTATGAAATAACTAAAACTAAACTAAAAGATTAAAGATTAAATGACAAAATGAAGCTAGTGTTCAAACACCTCAGAATCAGTCCCCAGTTATTTTTCTTTGTAGTGGCCCAGCTGGGTTGGTAACGGTTCCTGATTATTAGAGAATATAGAGCATTGGTTATCAAGTTTTATAAGTTGTACCTACTGTCTATAGGTATATTATTCAGCACTTCTGAGGAAAATTCTGGAAGCCAGTTGTTATATGTGAAAATAGGTTATGACCTATATTGTTCAGGAAAGTCAGGCTATTTTCATGACATCAGAAATAGCATAACCAATCTTTCAGTCCCACTTCAGGGTTGGATTCTGGCATCAGATTCTTGGCTTGGAGATCAGTCTCATTAAAGATGGTATTGATGGATTTATGGCTCACATTTTAGTGTAAAGTGAGTCTTTTTTAAAGCATTAGCCCTGAAAGGCAGATAAAATTGTTGAAATGATAAACAAATGAAATAGAAAAAAGAATGAAATATTCCTGTACTCCCCTTAGATGTCTCTCATGGAAAAGCATTTGGCTCGTGTGGAAGGAAGAGTCCTTGCAAATATGTTGGATTTCCTCTCTAAAGAACTAATTCGACTACAGGAAGAGCGGAGGATCCATGCTTTTGCTATGTTAGCAGAAAGGCAGCGCCGAATGCGGGAAGCAGAAGAGAGTGGACGTCGTCAGGTAGAGGAGAGGCGCAGACGTGAAGAGGATGAGATCTTTAGACAGGCAAGTGTGGGAAATACCATTAAATAAGCTCAAGCGGGCTTAGGCTAGATCATGGCACAATTGCATTTGTTCGGATTAGCTTAACAATACGTTAACCTATGTCCAGTATGTGCAGAGGTAATGTTTCTGTTAGGAAGAAGGCAAGGAGGGAGTCAAACTGCTGTGAGAGTGGACATAGCTTACAACTGAAGTAGTGTTGTATTATCATCTTCATCTCATATCCAGTTTTCCACTAGATGCTTCTGGATCATGCTCTGCATTTATTTTTTATTTATTTAATTTATTTATATATCACATTTGTCACCACCCATCCCATTAGAAAGCAACTCTGGGTGGTTTACAGAAAAGATAAATATTTATTAAAAATACAATATGACAATTAGTCCTAAATAAATAATAATAATAATAAATATCTTCTAAAAATTGATGGTAGCTAAAAATTATTAGGCTCGGGGAGCGTCATCAGGGTGCCAGCCATCCCCAGTGGTGGTTAAAACTCTTCTTGCCCCATGCAAGCTGAGACGGTCCCTCAGGTAACCTGGACCCATGCCATGTAGGACTTTAAAGGTAATAACCAACACCTTGATTTGGACCCGGAAGCAAACTGGGACCCAATGAAACTCCCACAGCAAAGGTGTTATGTGTGCCATCCTTGGGGCACCCAAGATTGGCTGTGTGGCCGCATTTTGAACCAGCTGTAGCTTCCGGATACTCTTCAAGAGTAGCCCCATGTAGAGTGCATTGCAATAGTCTAAATAAGAGATGACCAGGGCGTGAGTGACTGACCGGAGGGCCTCCTGATCCAGGAAAGGGCGTAACTGGTGCACCACACAGTGTTGAGCAAAGGCCCTCCTCCTCAAGCAGGAGTCGTGAGCCCAGGAGGACTCCCAGATTATGCACCGGATCTGTCTGGAGCAGTGCAACCCTGTCCAAAACCAAAGATGGTAAATCCTTGGATGCAGAGGGGCCTCCAATCCACAGCCACTCTGTCTTACCAGGGTTCAGCTGAAATCTGTTGCACCCCATATTCAACACCATTTCAGCTGAAGTCTGTTGCACCCACTATTTAATCATAGTAGTGACTTGGGGTAATTCACAGAGAAGCTAATTAAAGTAAAATTATTTATTTACCCAAGACCAACAGGAAGCATTACATCAGTAAGATGAGTAAGGTTTACTTCATTTAGAGACATAGGAGTTGTGGACAGATTAGAATTGAATGGGAGTCACCTGAGAAGATCTCTTGGCTAGACTGGGAAGGCCAAAAAATATCCCCAAAGTGACAATTTACACTTGTATTGCTATCAAGAAAACTGCATGGACATTTTTTTGAAATCTTCAAGAACTTAAGGCAGACTTTACTTTCCCATATTGAACATGTTGGAGATGCAATGGTGTACATTTTTAAACAACATTGCAAATCAGGTCTAAAAACATTCATTAAAAGAGTATCGAATAGAATAGGACTGTCTGATCTGGAAGATATGTTATCCAAGTGTGGTGTAAAAAGTGAGTGAACAAAGCAGGACAATTCCAAAGAAAAAGTATAGTGAAAAAGCATCCAAATTATAAATCATTCCCAAGATAAATATGCTTATTGCAGTGGAGAAAAAGGGACCGTCTTACCCCCGTCAGATCAACCTGTCCCACCCGGTCAGGCAGAGAGGGCATGTTGCGGGCCCTGTCAGTGAGAGAATGTCGGCTGGCAGGACCCAGGAGGAGAGCCTTCTCTGCCGCTGCCCCCGCCCTTTGGAATATTCTCTCCCCCAGAGGTGCAGCAGGCCCCGACCCTCCCAGCCTTCTGGAAAGAATTAAAGACCTGGCTCTGCCAGCTTGCGTGGGGGGTAACAACTTTACCCAATCCTGGGGGTGGCTAGCACCTCGATGACACTCCCTGAGCGATTGCCAATTCTTTTGGATCTTTTTATTTTCTATTTATTATTGTAATTTTGTAATTTTAATTTATTTTAATTGTTTTGTAAACCACCCAGAGTTGTGGTGGTGGGTGGTGACAA